TTAGAAGAAGAAGAAGAAGAAGAAGAAGAAGAAGAAGCAGCAGCAGAAGAAGAAGAAGAAGAAGAAGAAGAAGAAGAAGAAGAAGAAGAAGAAGAAAAGGAGGAGTAGCTGATGATGATGATAAAGAAGAAGATAAATACGAGACTCAATTCTTAGGAATAAAACTGAGTGATAGAAACAAGGAAACAAAGAAGTTAGAGAAAGAGAAAGAATAGTCCGGCAAGAAGAGGAGAAAAATAAGTAAAGGGAGGCAAGCGAATGAGGAGAGAGAGAGAAGGGGAAGCAGGAACAATCGGAGGAAGAATAGACAAAAAAGAAGGTGAAAAACAAAGAAAAATAAGGAATGAGTGAGGGGAGAAAAGTACACTTAAAAGAGGATACTTATAGACAGAGAGAAGAAAGAAAGTTAAAAAAATGAGAGTCACAAGAGAGGCGGCAACAAAGTAAAGGAAAAAGAAGATAAAGGAGTCTGGTGTAGAATGAGAGAAATGATGAAAAGCAAGAAAAAGACAATAGAAAAGAAGAAAAGGCAACAAGAGAGAGAGAGAGAGAGGGAGAGAGAGAGAGGGGGGGGAGGGAGATAAGCAGAAGAGTAGAGAGAAAGGGAACAGATGGAAGATAATGAGAAAGAGAGGGAGAGGAAGCTATAGCGAATAAAGAAATAAACAGAAGAGGAAATAATAGAGAAAAAAAAGAAAGAGTAGAAAAGCGACAACGAGAGAATAGAGAGAAAATAAAGAGAGGAAAGAAGTCAACGAAAGAAGATGGAGAAATAGAGAAAAAAAAAGAGACTACGAAAGAAAAAGAAATTTCTATATCTATATCTATATCTATCTATCTATCTATCTATCTATCTATATATATATATATATATATATATAGAGAGAGAGAGAGAGAGAGAGAGAGAAAGAAAAGTCAGAATATCAGAAAAAGATGGCAGGAGAAAGATAGATAGAGAAAGAGAGAGAGAGAGTAACTAATATAGATAAAGGAAATAGAGAATAGAATAGAAAACGAAAAGATAGAAAGAACAAGAGAAATAATGAAAGAAATAAGTAGAAGAAAGAGAGAGAGAGAGTGAGAGAGAAGAGAGAGAGAGTGAGAGAGAAGAGAGAGAGAGAGTGAGAGAGAAGAGAGAGAGAGAGAGAGTGAGAAAGGGAGAAACACAGAACAAATAGATGGAATGAAAGGGATAGTGTAGACTGTAGGAATGAAAAGAGAAAAAAAGAAGAAAAAGCAAATGTGCCAAAAGAAAAGACCAGAGAAAATGTCGATGGTAGAAACGGAAGATAGAATAAAAAGGAAGTAGAAAGGAATAGAAAAGGAAATAAAAATTTAAAAATAAAAGATAAAGACAGAAAAAAGGCAAGGTGAGGAAAAGGTAAGAAAATAAAAAGGCGGAAGACCATAAGAAATTAGAAAAAGAAGGTAAAACTGAGAACGCAGTAGATAGAATAAAGAGAAAGTCATCAGAAAGAGGTGATGGGGAGATCGTGGGAAGTTTTTCAGAAGGCGGCAGCCATGTTTGTGATTGGACTGACTGATTAATATGCACAGGGTTTCTTGTCATTAAACTTTTTAGTCCTCAAGAGATTATTGAATGAATGAAGATCAAGTCAATGGGCAAAAGAAAGAAGGAAGAAAGTTAACGTGTGTAAAGAAAGAAAAGAAGAAAGAATAATATGAAAGAAGAAAGAAAAATAAAGAAAAAGGGAATTAAATGTGAAAACAGGATCGAGTGATTATATAGGAAAAAATAAGGAAGCAAAAGATGCAGGCAAAGAAGGTGGGGGGGAATTTAAGAATGGCAAAGAGAGGGACGACGGGAAAAGAAAGATGAAGAAGTAAAGAGATAAAGAAGAAAGATAAAGAAAAGAGAATAAAGGGAAAAAGAGAATAAAGAAGAGAAAATAATAAAGGGAAAGAGAGAATAAAGAAGAGAAAATAAAGAGGAAGATGAAAAAAAAGGAAAGAAAGAAGAAAATGCTTGAGAGAGGAGAAAGAAAAAGAGTAAAGAAAATGAAAGAAAAAAGAGAAGGTGGGATAGAAAGTTACTAAATGAGAAGATAAAGTGAAATAAAGAAGAAAGGGAAAGAGGAAGTAAAAGAAAAAAAGAAAGAATAAAGTGAAGGCGAGAATGAAGAGAAGGATAGAATAAGGGAGATGAGAAAGAAAGATGATGAAAAAAATAAAAAGAAAGAGAGAAATAATGAAAATGAAGAAAGAAAAAGAAACAAATGAAAGAAGGATGAAAGGAAAGACAAAAGGAAAAAAAAACGAAGAAAGAGAGAAGGCATAGCGATACTAAAGTAACAGGCAAAAAGAAAGAGTGAAGAATGGTGAAAAGAAAACAGAGAGTAAGAGAGAAAAAGAAGGAAATAGTGACATAAAGGAAAGAGAGTGAATTGTGAATGAAAAAGAAAAAGGTGCCAAGAAAGAAAAAAGGAATAAGAAACAATTGGAAGGAAATTTGAAATGAAAGAAAATCAAAGTTTCGAAAAATGGATAGGGAAATGATTGGCTCATTTAATGTCAATTTTTTTATGGGGGCACTCTGTGAGGATCGAATACACGACTTAGTAATAAGGGTGACAGAACTAATTTCAACTCGAGGGTCATTTGCAGTTCAAGCCCCACGCTCAGTTTCTAAAAAAAAAAAAAAAAAATCCCAGACTTCGCGAATTCAAGCCTCCTACGAGGCTGGCATCCCGCTCTCGCCATTTCACTGTTGAAAATGTTAAATGTAGCTGCCTCTTCTACTCCAATAGCTTCATATCTCGCAACTCTCGCCTGTGGAACTCCCTTCCCTATTCCTGTTTCCCTGATAGCTATAATCTCCAACTATTCAAATGTAATGTCAATCGACATCTCCAGTTGCCTTGATCTATCCACTATCCTTCTCGTCCTCTCCTCTATCATTACTATCTGCTCTCGCTCCAAATCCTCTGTAACCCCTTGCGTGCTAGTGGCTTCCAGCCTTGCTAGGGGTCTAGTAGCTTCCAGCCTTGCTAGGGGTGAAAAGCTTAAAAAAAGAAAAAAGTTCCATTTAGGTGTAAATTTACATGCTTAATTTGAAAATAACAAAGAAATTTTGATAAAATCTACCGTTTTAAAGTTATCGACAATAAAAGTTCGGACTCATTCGCGTCGCGGAGGGTGAAGTTGAGATTAATTCTGCATCCTGGTAATAATGGTCAAACAGACTAGCCTCTAAGTGAGAGACAAAGACAAAGATAGAGCGAGGAGAAAGAAAGAGAAAATAAAATAAAATGATAAAATAAAGAAAGGAAAAATACAAAATAAAAAATATCAAAAAGAAAGAAAGTAAAAGGAAAGATAAAAAGTATGATGAATAAGTATTTAAAAAGAATGAAGATAAATGAATTAATAAAAAAGTAGAAGAAAAAATAAAATAAAAATTAAAAACGCGTAAAGAGAGGACAGAGAAAGAGAACAGAAAGAAACGTGAAAAAAAGTACAAAAATGAATAAACAAAGAACAAAAATGGAAAAAAAAAAAAAAAAAAACTTGAAGAAAAACGAAGGAAGAAAAAGAGTGGAATTTAGGAAAATAGAAAATGGAATTTACGTTGAAATGGAATTTAGGAAAATAGAAAATGGAATTTACGTTGAAATGGAATTTAGGAAAATAGAAAATGGAATTTACGTTGAAATGGAATTTAGGAAAATAGAAAATGGAATTTACGTTGAAATGGAATTTAGGAAAATAGAAAATGGAATTTACGTTGAAATGAAATTTAGGAAAATAGAAAATGGAATTTACGTTGAAATGGAATTTAGGAAAATAGAAAATGGAATTTACGTTGAAATGGAATTTAGGAAAATAGAAAATGGAATTTACGTTGAAATGGAATAAAATAAATTACAGAACGAAAAATAGAAAAAAAATGTCAGTATTGAATGAAAAAAGTGAAAAATATTGAAAATAGAGAATGAAAAATCTTGCAGAGGATGCAAACAAGGAGGAAACTTATACGTAACATCAGGAAGAGGCAGATGAAATTTCTGGGATACGTAATGAAAAAAGAGGGCCTGGAGAATCTGATGCTCACGGAACTTATTAAGAGCTACAAGAGATAGGGGGAAGTGGAGAGCCACGATCGCCTACGTTCTGAAAGGACACGGCACATACAAAGAAAAGAATAGAAAGGAACAGAGGGAAAGAACTGTAAAAATAGAGAAGAAAGAAGGAAAAGAAAAAAAGAAAGATAACGTTTATAATTAAGAGGCGCAACGAGCAAATGAATAAACGAGGGGAGCAAAGAATGAACGGAGCAAAGAAAAAAGAAAATATTTAAAATGAATGACCCCCCCCCAAAAAAAAAAAAACGAAAAAAAAAAACAGTATTCTATTTGAATTTAATATTTTAGTGGGCAAATTCATCTCCGAAACTAATCGGCTAATGTAAGATTGACCTTAGTGAGTACTCTACTAACATGTCCATGTGGAAGACTAAACAAAGCTGTTTATATAATTATTACTATTATGGTGAGTTTTCACGCGTAGCTTAGATGTGGCACAAGGTCGAATGTGTGGGGCACCTAGTGAGGATCGAACTCGCTACTCAGTCGTAATCATTAGTTTTATGGATAATATAAGACATGAAGATGATTCTCTGTTGATTTCAGGCACAAACAAAACTGCAGGAACTCTTAACAAGCTGATGCAAGAAAGCGAGAAAAAAGGATTCTCTTAGGCAATCATGTATCTTTCGATGCAAGACTGACGAGGCAGATTTTTCCCGCAGTAGGTTGCCATTTCTTTCTGCGGTAGACCAGTTGCCATCCAAGGCTATAGAACCCGGTCTGTCCTGCTATTTAACCATAGCCGGAGGAGGAGAAGAGGATTCGTATGTTTCCCAAGGATATTAGCATGTAAGTGAATGTATTGGATTGCACTGGGATTCGAACTCGGTTCTCGATTCCCCAATCCTCATTACTCCTCCGTGCCTCCCCTATCTATAGCTACGAATTGGAGAAGTCAAAATCCAGCAAATCCAAATATCTAGACTTCTGGAAAGTCTTTTAACAAACAACAAAATTGTGACACACAAATCAGAAGTCGTATTGGAATAGTGAAAGATGCCTTCCAAAAGCCGAGCAAAATATTAAGAAAAAGGAAAATTTCGTTAAAAACAAGCAAAAAAGAAGTGTTCTGAACTGCTATGTAATATCAATCCTCCAATATGGTCGTGAATGCTGGATAATATCCTCACAGATGAAGAAGTGACGAGAGGCAACAAAGATGTACTCTACAGAAGGTTCCTGGGAATGACATGGACGGAGTATGTGAGCAACGAGGAAGTTTAGAGGAAACTGCGAACAGTAAGAACACTTGTATTTATATTCAGGAAGAGACAGTTGAAATATTTGAGTCACATGAAGAAGAAAGAAAGCTTCGAGAATTTGATACTCATAGGAAATATAGTCAAAAGTGACAGAAGAGAAAAAGTACGTAACCTATCCTGTGTAAATGAACGACAGAACAGGTCCTGGGAAGAGAACAAACACTACTTAGAGCTACAGTAGGAAGTCGTGGAGAGCTATGATCAGCCTACCTAACACGCTTGTGTAAAAGGACGGTAGAACAGGGACTTGGAAAGATAGTAATGAGACAAACATTGCTGAGAGATACAAAGGATAGGAAGTTGTGGAGAGCTATGATCAACCTATCTAACAAGCTTGTGTAAATGGAGGGCGGAGGAGGGACTGGGAAATATAATATGAAGACAAACATTGCTGAGAGCTACAATGGGTAGGCAGTTGTGGAGAGTCATGATTAACTTACCTAACAAGCATGTGTAAATGGACAGCAGAACGATACTGGGAAGGAGGACAAATATTACTGAGAGCTACAAAGGATAGGAAATTGTGGAGAGCCATGAACAAACTACTTAAGCTTGTGTAAATGGATGGCAGAACAGGATAGTGCGCGCAATAATAAGAGGGCAAACATTGGTGAGTGCTACAAAGGATTGGAAGTTGTGAAGAGCCATGATCAATCTACCTAACACGCTTGTGTAAAAAATATTTCAATCTCAATATTCATCAGTGAGTTTGATCCTCATCGGGTACCCTATACTTGTGGCCTGTTTCAAAATAAACTTATTGAATAAACGGGTATGAGGCAGTGTAATGGCAAGATTGACTGACTTTTTTTACAGTTTATCAATTCTTTGTGAAGTATTACGGCCAAATCCCATTGATACACCGATTGCCAAAGTTAAGCAACGACGAGCCTGGTCAGTACTCAGATGGGTGACCGCAAGGGGATATCAGGTGGTGCATGAGCGGGAATGGATAACGGCACGAAATTGAAGATTGAAGTGCTAATTTTCAATTCCAGTCTTGTTCGTTATATCACCTTACACTCAAATGTCATTGGGAAAAGTTTATATATCCACCTTTTCTCCCTCCAGCTATGGGTTAATTAGTAGGACTTGTAGCAGTAAACCATTTAATCTACAAAATCTTACAGTCTAAAAATAATTTTGAGGTATTGTAACTGTTTACACTATTTACATTATTCGGACTATTGTCCCCATCTTCATTGCCATATTCACGACGTTTCGGCCGTTATACACTCCGGCCTTCTTCAGTTGAAATGTCTTAGAATTTCTAACCGAATCATTATTTCACGGGGGGTAGATTGTTTTAGTTCCACGTGCCATGCCTTTGGATATCTCAGTTTTAGCTATTTCCCCTTGACAACGTTTTTATTCTCTGGGCCATGTATGTTTGGGAACACAAGGATAAAAGCGTTAGTTGATTGAACCAAAAATGACTTGACCCAAAGAGCTGTGATTTCAGTACCTGGCCAGAGGGAACAAAAACTTGGAGAGTCGAGTTATCAAGTGGAATTACCTGAAGAAATTTCTTTGTTGTAATATACATCTCTGAAAATTGAAATGATGGATTCAGCCGTTTATCGTTGATTCCTTTCCTTTCAAAAAACCGGGGCGTAGATTGATATATCAATCTAAAAATAAAATCCTTTTCAATTACACAAAATGACGTAATCTAAGTGGCTAGACATTTCAGTTAACCTGATGAATATATATGAGCGTCTTTAAATTTAAAAATTCCCCTTCGAAGATGCCACATGACGTAATCTAAGGTCTAAATGAGAAGACATTTCAGTTAACCTGTTGAATATTTATGAGTGTCTTTAAGTTGAAAAAAATCCTTACGAAGATGCTATATGACGTAATCTAGATTCTAACACATAAACTTTTCAGTTAACCTGATGAATATAAAAAAAATTGAGTAACTGTCACATATGTATTTGTTCAAAATAAAACCATCACATTTGCCTTGATAAAATCCGTCAGATGACGAAACGCGACGCATATGGTTTTCCTCTTGTCTTTTCATTCATTTTCTCTCTTCTACAGATATACTTCATCTGCTACCCCAATACATATATATATATATATATATATATATATATATATATATATATATATATATATATATATATATAGCGTATTGGGGAAGCAGATCATTATTTAAACAAATATTTAGTATAACAGACAAGCTGTTCTTTAATCTAAGCTCCAGAGTAGTTATACGGAAATTGCATTTTACGAATATTTCGGCTCACGAACGAATTAACTTCGGGAACCGAGGTTCCATTGTATAAATGAACAAACGCGTACGGACATAGATCCTCGGGATACAATACTGTGTAAAACATTTTTCATTGAAATCGTCTATTTTTGGTTAACCTGTCTGAATTAATATATGGCAGGTTGTAATGTATTAAATGATCTACTCAGAGAAACGAAGTTGGACCTTTCTCGGGGGCATTGGTACGAATTGAACACAAACTGCTTTACGTGGAATTTGAATCCTGTTCGTCGATTCCATTTTATGTCTGTTCACTGTTTGTGCCATCTCCACACCTTGACGTGTGCACGTAATCAGTGAAAAAAAAATGTTCTTTACAAAGTGGCAAAACAATGATAAACAGAAAAAGATGAATAAATAGGAAAAAAACTAATAAATAATCATTAAAAAAATGACTTATTTGTTTTATTTTTCTCCTTTTTCTTCAAAAAAATATTTTGAAACTGCGTATGCGAAGATGAAACAGGCTACAAATATCAGTTAAGGAGGACGAAAGAATAAAAAGAAGTAAAATAAAACGTTGTCTTTCCTATTAGTCTTTCTCAAGTGGAACAGGTTGATCTCAAGAATTGAGGCTCAAGCCCGATTTTGTATTTGAGCCGAGGTAATTAAAACGCATGACATTTGAGCGCCAGGAGACTGCAGTTCAGATTGAGTTTTATAAGGGTCTTCTTTTTCTTTAAATTGAGATTAATGCTCAAGTAAACAAATGAGAAGAGCGGAAAGAGATGGATACACACACACACACACACACACACACACACACACACACACACACACACACACACACACACACACACACACAGAGAAAGGGTGAAAGAGAGAGCAGATGAGGAGGGGGAAAATAAAATAGAAAGAAGACAGAGAGAATAAAGAAAAAAACAAAGAGAGAACGCTGGAATGGAAATGTATCAGTCAAAAAGAAGAGGGGAAAAGAAAGAAAAGAAGGAAAGGAAGAAAGTGTGAGAGGAAGAGGTAAATTGAAAAAGTGCGAGAAACACGAAGAAAAAATTAAAGAGGAGGAAGGAGAATGAATAGAGAAAAGAAAGAAAAAGAAAGCTATATGGATGAAGAGAGCTAGAGAAGATGAGGGGGAAATAAAAATAAACGAGAGAGAGAGAGAGAGAGAGAGAGAGAGAGAGAGTGAGGGGGAGAGAGTGAGGGGGAGAGAGTGAGGGGGAGAGAGAATAAAGAACAAAAGAAGAGAAATCATTGCAAGGGAAACGTTTGATTAAAAAAGAAGAGGTCGAAAAGAAAGAAAGAAAGAAAGAAATACAGAAAGAAAGAAATAGAGTGAAAGAGGAAGGGGGTAAACTGAAAAAGAGTAATTAATACGAATAAAAAATTAAAAGGGAGAAGGAAGAGAAAAGTGTGTTTATATTTCTGAAATGACGTATTGTAAATATTTACACGATTTGCCTTGTTCGAACTGTTCACATCTTTACTGTCGTATTCATGACTTTTCGGCCGTTGTACGCTCCGGCCTTTTTCAAGTGATATTTCTTGGAATTTCTAACAGAACCCCTTATTTAGACCAGGTGTTAGATTGTTTTAATTCCACATAACATGCCTTAGAATATCTCATTTTCAGTTAATTCCCCTCTTCAAGTTTTTATTCTCTCCGCTGAGACCAGGGATTGAACTCACAACTCTTAGGGTCAAATCACTTTTTTGGATTACTCAAACAAAGCTTTTATCTACTGCGACATGTGTCCTTGGGTTCGGTTCTAAAATCCAACAAATATCATCTGAAGAAGGCCGGAGCGTATAACAACCGAAGCATCGTGAATGTGACAGTGTAAACATAGTAAATGTGAAAGTGTAAAGCGAATTCTAATGGTCTATTTTTTTAAATTGAAAGTGTGCGTGCATATTTCATCCGTTAGGATTTTATCGGACTGGGTTTTGTTGACCTTGCCACGTCTACACCATTATATCATATATATATATATATATATATATATATATATATATATATATATATATATAATGTCAAATTTCAAGTGGGCAGTGGACTGACAACGACTACCATTTTCATGCGCTTTCACGCCATAATCAGGCGGTGTCATCAGGCTTTCACGTAACCATCAGGCCATCACGCAATGATAAGGTATTCATCGGGCGGTCGTCAGGCTTTCACGTAACCATCAGGCCATCACGCAATGATCAGGTATTCATCGGGCGGTCGTCAGGCTTTCACGTAATCATCAGGCCATCACGCAATGATCAGGTATTCATCGGGCGGTCGTCAGGCTTTCACGTAACCATCAGGCCATCACGCAATGATCAGGTATTCATCGGGCCGTCGTCAGGCTTTCACGTAACCATCAGGCCTTCACGCAATGATCAGGTATTCATCGGGCGGTCGTCAGGCTTTCACGTAACCATCAGGCCATCACGCAATGATCAGGTATTCATCGGGCGGTCGTCAGGCTTTCACGTAACCATCAGGCCATCACGCAATCATCAGGTATTCATCGGGCGGTCGTCGGGCTTTCACGTAACCATCAGGCCATCACGCAATCATCAGGTATTCATCGGGCGGTCGTCAGGCTTTCACGTAACCATCAGGCCTTCACGCAATGATCAGGTATTCATATGGCGGTCGTCAGGCTTTCACGTAACCATCAGGCCATCACGCAATGATCAGGTATTCATCGGGCGGTCGTCAGGCTTTCACGTAACCATCAGGCCATCACGCAATGATCAGGTATTCATCGGGCGGTCGTCAGGCTTTCACGTAATGATCAGGTATTCATCGGGCGGTCGTCAGGCTTTCACGCAATCATCATGCGGTCATCAGAATTTCACGCAATCACCAGGCGCGGTCATCAGGCTTTCATACAATCATCAGGCGGTCATCAGGCGACCGCCTGATTTCATGAAAGCGCGTAAAGCTGGCAGTCGTGGTCGGTCACTTTCCTCTCAAAATTTCACTTAAAATGTATTAAATCTCTGCGATTTAATATGCCATTGAGCACTATTTTTTCTTGTGTGCAAACTTAGGCAGACTCTTTTGGGAGGTGCTTATCCTTATCTCTAATTATATATTTCAAGCGAGTACCACTATATATATATATATATATATATATATATATATATATATATATATATATATATATATAAATAGCCAAAAGTTTAAACACTATATTCCATGGTCATAATTTATTCTATTGGAATCGTATTCCAATGGAATAAACTATGACCATGTAATATTAGTGTTTAAGCCTTTTTATTATATCCTTACTCTGTCCTGGACATTGAGTTCTACCTGTATTCTCTCCTCTTGAATATTTTATTAAAAAAAATATACATGTATGTGTATGCACCTATGTATATATATTTATATATTTTGCATATGTATGTGTATATTTACTACTAATATATATATATATATATATATATATATATATATATATATATATATATATATATATATATATATATCGTTAAAGTCATTTATATATGATGTCATTTGCATTCGATAACAAGTGCTTTTAAAATACAAATTATAACATTTCAAAACTGCTAGGATTAAATTAATCTGGATTTTTCTTTATCGCACACGGTTAAGCCACACACACAAATGGGGATTTTCGAGGTGGGTAGACCCTCCCCAGTTATAAGTTTTCCGCACTACTCTCTTCTCATTTCTACCTATTGTCTGTAAATTGTTTAGTATTACCTCTTACCTGTAACCTCTACATCGAGTGGATCTTGTACAGGGTGAATATTATTGTAAAAGGAAATTGACCTCATGCTGTATTGAGTATATATTGACAGCATGGCGCGACAAGTATATCCTGTTGTCAGCTGAAAAGGCCGGGGAATTCAGGAATTTGCATTAAGTAAAGTTACCGTTTTATATTTTGCATCTAATTATATTTTTCAAAAGGACTCATTAAAAATGGCCTTGCGTCGCATTTTGCATTGCGTAAGAAGAGATAAAAGATGAAATGACAGGTCGAAAAAGAGCGTGAGTGAGTGAGAGAAAGAGAGGGAGAGAGAGGGAGAGAGAGAGAGAGATGAGAAGTCATATATAGAGAGAGAGATCTAGGAAAATGCTGATTAAAAAAGAAGTGATGATTGAAGAGGAGGGTGGGGGGCTAATAAAAAATGGAAAAGATGCGAAGGAGAATAATAGAAATAGCGAACCAAAAAAAATAGCAACAAAAAAATAAGAACATTAATTTTAATTCGAAGCGGGAAGCAAAAAGCTCAGAAAAGACGCGCTTCTGCCAGAATAAAAAAAAGAAAAAAAAAGGCACGAATCAAATAATGGAGTTGTAAATAAAATTAATTTCTTCAGAAAGGAATTGAAAAAAAATCTCCCAGGGTCTCAGGAAATTAATTTGTGAGTAGCGCAAGCCTACAAACTTAAAAAGGATTTATATATTTGCATTGTCAATTCTTTCTTTCTTTCTTTCTTTCTTTCTTTCTTTCTTTCTTTCTTTCTCACCTTCTTTCTTTCTTTTTGTTTCTTTCTTTCTCATTCTTGTATCTGTTTTGTCTTTCTCTTTCTCTCTTCTTTCTTTCTTTCTTTCTTTCTTTCTTTATCTCTCACCTTCTTTCTTTCTTTTTGTTTCTTTCTTTCTCATTCTTGTATCTGTTTTGTCTTTCTCTCTCTCTCTTCTTTCTTTCTTTCTTTCTTTCTTTATCAATCTCTCACCTTCTTTCTTTCTTTTTGTTTCTTTCTTTCTCATTCTTCTATCTGTTTTGTCTTTCTCTCTCTTCTTTCTTTTTTTCTTTCTTTCTTTCTTTTGCTAATTTCCTTTATATCGTTATTTCTCCTTTCTCATCATGTTCTTTCTTTCTTTCTTTCTTTTGTATTCTCATTACATATTTTAGTTTATTTCTTTCATATCGTTTTTTTCCTTTTGCATTTTGTTCTTTCTCACCATGTCCCTTTTTGTGAGTTATGTCAATAATTTCATCATTTCTTGTTTTTTTTTCTTTTAATGTCATATCACTTCAAGACGTAGGCGATAATGGATCTCCACACATTCCCTTTTCTTTATTATCTGTGAAATGACATGACTTCTTGAGAAATATAGTGGAGCGATTTCCCGTAGCCTTCTCTACGGATTTTTAATTCAGAGATGTCCTTTTTCCTAGACTGGATACTACCCAAGGCGAGAGAGCTAAACATACTCTGCTATTGAACCCAAAGATTAAGGGAAAATTGGGTTCATGTCTTGCTCAATGGTATTAGTACGGAGTGAACACAACAGACTAAGACAGAAGTTGAACTCAGGCTGCCGGTTTCTCTTTCGGCGCCGATAACCTATAACCGTTACGCTACCCAAACATTTCACGTTGAAACATCGATTCCCGTACGATCACCGAAGTTAAGCAACATCGAGCTTTGTTAGTAACTTTATGGGTGAATACGCGTATTTGAGTAGATGTTTTGTTTATTTATTAAACATCATATTTACTTCAGTATCTGCCATAAGGATCGACCCAGAGACATTAGATAAAGAATTGGTCAGTATAAGTAGTACCCTACAACGTCACAACAACCCTGGGTACATGGCAGCAGCCCCCCAAAACTGGGATAGGCGGGTACAAGAGGAGGACAACAACCTGCCTGCCTTATGTGAAGGGGTTATCAGAGAAAATACAAAGGATCTGTGGTCCATATAACGTCAGAACAATTTTCAAAAGCTTGATGACACTTCGCAGATAACTCTCCCGAGTAAGACCCCCTCCATAGAGGAGAACATGACTAAAGACAGTGTGTACGCTATCACGTGCAGCTGCGGAAAGAAATATAAAGGGGAGACAAGCCGCCTCCTTATGGTAAGGCTTCAAGAACACCAAAAAGCTGTAACACGAGGGGAAGTGGAAAAATCAGGCGTGGCTGACCACATATGGCGAGAAAAGGGAGATCACTGTCCTCTGTGGGATCAAGTTGAAATCATAGACAAAGAACATCATTGGAAAATTCGTAAACTTAAGGAATCATCACATATGCTAGGCCACAAAAATCTCCTGAGTCGACCAAGCATAGAAATGAATACAGTATGGGAACCAGTAATAAGGAGTGCCAGAGAAAAGCGATAACAAAAATTGCAAAAAATTGCGCTGGTAAAAAATGGTTACTGAAGACATTAGGTTTATAATACCCAGAAATTCATACACAGATGTCCTTAAGGACACATGGCACAGTGGATAAAGGCGTTGATTAGATCCAGTAACAGGACCCAAAGAGTGTGAGTTCAATACCCGGTTAAGACAGTGGAGAACTTGGAGAGAGGAATTAACAGGAAATAACTGATAACGGACATTCATTAAACATGGCACGTGGAACTAGAATGAGCGAAATAAAGGGTTCAGTTCGACATTCCAACTATCTGAAGAACGCCGGAACGTTGTAAAAAATATGGTGACAAAGATGAAGACAATAGACCGAATAATGTAAATAGTGTATCATATTTATTTATTTATTTTCGGCTACCGACCTGAATGTTCGAGAAATCTTATTAAAGAAAAATTTACGCTTGCCGGACAGCGAAAATAAATAACTATACGTCAAGTCACGTTATTGCTATAATAAAATTATGAACCCGACAGAAAATTATATATATATATATATATAAACTGGCCAATATCAGGAATAGAGTGTATGTAATTATAAAAGTGGACATTAAATTCAACGCGCAGAAGCGGCAATCTGTTACATGTTAAACACAATCGTCAGGTCATATATATATGTCTGTCCGATTATATATATACATATAATCGACAGACATATATAGAGATAATAAGCAGAAACCCTTATACATATGAATTTTAGTTTAATACCCTTACAACTTTTATCTAGTATCAGTCGTATTGTTTTACACGAAGCTCATTGATGCAAAGTGATTGGTAGACTGTAGGCAGCGCATGCGTGCAAGTGTGCGTGCTGCGATATGGGTAAAGTGTCAGTTGACATATGTTGTCTGTCGAAACAGACCACAGTCGGACATATGTGCTAATGTTGGGAGGGGGGGAATCAGAGTAATCGCGAGGGACGAACGGTTGCCCTGTATCATGGAACACGAGACTGGATCACGGAATTGGAAATGTCAGAAAAGACCGAAGTGATATCTGTCTGAAATTTGATATCTTTAACAGCGGGAAGGTAACGGAAGTAACGTACGCGGCGGTGCTGAAATATTCTGGACCAGAATAAGAATGGATTCTGGTGCCTGGTTATTTCTTAAGATTTGCGGAAGTGTGTTAGGCTGGGAACTTTTCAGCATCACCTCGGAATTGAAAAGCGTTCGTTTTGTGTCGGTTTGATAGAGATGGGCTGGAAAAGAGTTCGATTCAGAGGAAAAGAAGTCGAGAGAAAAAAAATGATGAAAGGAAAGTAACAAAAGTGCGGTTTGGAAAATAGAACGGAACAGAAAGTAATAAAGAATTTGCTTATAGGTAACAACAGAAAAGAATGAATTATGACAAACGTGTACACACACACACACACACACACACACACATATATATATATATATATATACCCAAGGTTTTACATTCAACATCATCACTTGATAAGACACCGGGGGTGTTGAAACAAAATGGCTATTTTTGTAGTGATTTTATAACATATTTATGTTATAAATTTAAAAAAAAAAAATAATTATATATATATATATATATATATATATATATATATATATATATATATATACTAGCAGCATGGCCCGGCGTTGCCCGTGCTTGATTCAAAAATCGTACGAATCATACAGCAATCGCTATCACTTGACTTGAAATATTTTTGCCCTTTCTTCCCTTTAAAAGAGTGCCCTTTGCCGCGCTGATGTTGCTACATACCTTACTTCTTGCCTATATCACACTGCGAATTTTTTCTAAGCACTATACTAAACATTAAATCTGTTACGAACAAAAAAAATAAACAAAATGAACACAAAACAATATATATGTTAGGTCCCTGGGCGGGACCCGGAAAAAAATGTGTAAACGTCAGAAATCAAAGAAAATAAAAATAATAATAATAATAAGACGACGACAAAGAAGAAGAAGAAGACGATGACAGAGACGCCAACAGAGAAGAAGAAGAAGAAGAAGAAGAAGAAGAAGAAGAAGAAGAAGAAGAAGAAGAAGCAGCAGCAGCAAGGTTCTACTGGCGCAATTTTAGGAGATTAAAAATGTCTGAAACAGAAGAGACTTTGTCTCTTACGAACACCACAACAGGAATCCGTCAGAGAGAATGGCCGAATCAGGAACTTAACGATCGATCTGAATAGAAAGAAAGTGCACAAGAAGGAGGCTGTAAAAGAGAGATATGAGAAATTCTGGTATATCGAATACCTTTGTCGGATATTTGAATGTTAACAAGATGGGATAATTAAATTGATCGTCAGAGTTTATATCCATTAGTCAGATGACTGACAACGCTTTGGTAAGAATAAAGTGATCAGAAGAGGAAATGAAAGGTATGCAGATATAAATGAAGATTTTATTAATAAAGAAACAATGACAAAAAAGATGAGAAGGTGCTTCACAAGACCCGGTTTGTATAAGTTGTATAAGAGTAAACTAAAAGACAGGAAAAGTCTGGAGGTAGAGACGTTTCTCCGTATTTATTGAGCTCATAACATAACTATAGAAAAAAGAAAGACAAAAAGAAAGAGAGAATGAGAAACCGAAAGGGAAAAGGCAAGAGAGAAAGAGAAAAAGAAAGGAAATATATATATATATATATATATATATATATATATATATTAAAAATATAAATATTATATATATAAATATTATATATATATAAATATATATAAGTAAACATAAATAGAAAATATAAAAATATAAATATTGTATATATAAATATACACACACACACACACATATATATATATATATATATATATATATATATATATATACGTAGACATATAGTTTTAAGGTGTGCTATATTTTTGGGATAAAGTGCTCAATCTCAGAGATAAAGCGTATGTAAATATAAATATAAACGTGAACATTGAAGTCAACACTCAGAGGCGACAGACTATTTTATGTTAGAAGAAGGCCTGGCGATTACGTCTAGCATGAAACAGCCTGTCGCCTCTGAGCGTTTATTTCAATGTTCACGTTTATATTTATATTTATCTATTTGAAATATAAATATTAGCTAAACCTAAAAAAAACCAAAATTAATTGATTTATTTTTACGGCTTAACAACCTTTTAAAGTCAAAACATATTTTTGGATTTTTAGGTTTTTTAAAAAATATTAAATATTTTCTGATACATGTCTTACTATTTAACCCATAGCCGCGAGGAGAAAAAGTGCATTCATATCTTTCGCAAGTGCAGATGCACGTAAGGGAATATAACGATCCCAACTGGAGTTCGAACTCGACTCTCCTATTTCTCATTCCATTACAAAAGTGGAACATCCATGCATACAACACCTGCTATTCACCCATCTAGGTACTGACCAGATTTAACGTTGCTTAACTTTGGTAATCAGATGAGATCAGGTATTTCAACGTGATAAGGCCGTAAGTTCAGAAAACCGAAAGAAGACGAACTTGAAAGCAAAAAAAAAAACATGGCTTGCAACAAGTTCAAAAGGTAACCGAAGAAAATAAAGAAAAATAAAATGTTTATTTATTTTTTTTTTTTATAAAGGCAGAAATAAGAACGCTACAAAATGGAAGTATTAGGTGCGTACTGCTTCACTGTTTGGTATACCAACTGCTGGGCAGCGGACAAGAGAGCCTTCCAAAGAATCATAGATGTTGCCCAGAAAATAATCGACTGCTCACTGTCCTCCTTGGGAAACATTTGGGTTAATTATTTGCCGATAGCTGGGACACTGACAGGTGTTACCACCCCGGGTCAGGGTGGACCTGGGAACACCAGCAATTAAGAGATGGTTCCACGCTCCTCAAAACCTCCTGATCAGATGCCTTGTTGTTGGATATAGTTTATCGACTTACCCAGGACGCACACTTTGTCAGTATGTATAAAGTGTATACTGAATGTAAAATGTCATCGATGACATTTTGGTACGCAATCAAATGCTTATAGTCAAACTTGGAAACGGTCAAATATAAATGGTAAGTGAGATGTTAGGGTTAGGGATAAAATTAAGGTAATAAAGTTTTATCACCGCAGAGCAGACCCCAAGTTTTCTCCAGTTATGATGAACAGTTGTATTCACAATGGGGATTCCTGACTGGGACGTCTCTTGGAATTCAAGATCACACCACACCTCAAGTGGAACTCGTGTATACGGTACATCGCTAAAGACGTCACAAACATGGCTGGTTCTCTATCCCACTCCAAAAAGTACCTGGTTCCACCTGATATCCGCTACTCTTATAAGAGTCAGTTTACGCCAAAAATGGAATCAGTCAGTCAGTTATGTGCCATGCGTGATACACGCTTAAGCGATCATGTATCTTTCGATACATGACTGACGAGGCAGATGATTTTCCCGCAGTAGGTTGCCATTTCTTTCTGCCGTAGACCAGGTGCCATCCAAGGCTATAGAATCTGGTCTGTCCTGCTATTTACTCATAGCTGGAGAAGTGGGGAGAAGGAGAGGATTCATATCTTCCCCAAAGGTATAGGCACGTAAGTGAATGTAATGGATACCACTGGAATGTGAACTCGGCATACTTTTACCATATATGGGCAGAAGCTGACCAGTTTTCATTTTCGAATCTCGATGGAGTCCAAAAGCGTCTCCGCGTCCTTGTGGGTGATGAATTATTTACCGTCCTACAACCCCTTTCTCACAAACGAAACGTCGCAAGCCTCTCGTTGCTCCAACGCTATTCCCATGGAAAGTGTTCAGATGAATTATATTCCTTAGTTCCACCAGTTCTAACCTTCTCGACTAAGACCCACCTTGCCACGCCCATTGCAGCGAACCACACCCATTCCCTTCGTATTCCATCGGTGAGATGTAAGTTCCGCTCGAGCAGCTATTTCCCACGAACCGCTGCTTTGTGGTACCGATTCCGAAGAGGATGTTTTCCTGATCTCTATAATCTTAACCTGTTCGTCTGGGATTAACCGTTATCTTCCCTACATATCCGCATAAACCGTGCAGCTTAATCTGTAATCTTCTACCTTGAATGAATATCATTGTAAAAGAAGAAGTTGTCGATAGGACCACATCTCGATTGCCTGAAGTTTTTTTTCCATTTGTGATGAAATAGTCGACTATTCACTTTCATGTCGGAGGGTGTACGAAATCTAGGAGAGTTTCCGAAATGTAGGAAAGTGTCCGAAATGTAGGAGGGTGTCCGAAATGTAGGAGAGTGTCCGAAATGTCGGAGGGTGTCCGAAATGTAGGAGAGTGTCCGAAATGTAGGAGGGTGTCCGAAATGTAGGAGGGTGTCCGAAATGTAGGAGAGCGTCCGAAATGTCGGAGGGTGTCCGAAATGTAGGAGAGAGTCCGAAATGTCGGAGGGTGTCCGAAATGTAGGAGAGTGTCCGAAATGTATACAATAAATACATGTTTTTAATCTGTCTTTATATAATAGCTTGTTCATATATCTTAGCTTGTTCATATTTATTTAAAGCATAAGTCATCGTGACTGAGTGTGTGAGCGTATTGGCCTTGTTCAGCTGTTGATCACGGCGGATTATCTGCTCTCTCCCAAAAAACCTTAACTGAGTTTTGTTCAGATTAGTTGCAGGTTAAAGTACAGGTTGGTTGAAGAAACAGAGATGTGTCTGAGCGGATATTTGCAACAGGATTAGATAACTAACTTGGTAGATTCCATAGTCCCCCAAGACGGTTATCTATCTATCTATCTATCTATCTATCTATCTATCTATCTATCTATCTATCTATCTGCTGTGGCCTGTTTAGGGGCCAGAAAGAAAGACACAGAAGACGAAGGTAGGTTGAAAAAGTATATACTTATATATTAGAAGTATATACTTCTCATCCGACTCTCGCAGTTTGTATTTATGAGAGAAGGAAGAGTTCATTATACTGTAAAAGGGTTTACCACAACACATCTATCTCAGTTTGGCCCATATCTATCTATCTATCTATCTATCTATCTATCTATCTATCTATCTATCTATCTATCTATCTATCTATCTCAGTTTGGCCCATATCTATCTATCTATCTATCTATCTATCTATCTATCTATCTATCTATCTATCTATCTATCTTGGTAGCTAGCTCGCTATGCAAATCGTATGTCAGACTATCGTGAAGCAAGTGATTAACTATATAATCGTTGTATTGTACGAATATACGAAGTAAGATCAATGTCCATAGCCTTATTAACTGAATTTTGATCTGAAATATTCGCTGTATCATATTCGATCTATGAGATTAATGTTGACGTATCGGATTAAGGGCATTAACAAGGAATGAGATTATGTTGAAAAAGAATCATTAAGCTTATCGATTTAGCAACATTTGGATAGAAGAGTGTTTAAACGTATTCAGGTTTTGTTTGAATAGGTGATGATTGCAATCAAGACATCAACAGAGAATCTGGTGACGTCCAAAGGATATAAAATTCATCTTTATTACTGACCAGTGCCAGTCCACGACTACCTGACAACCTGACCAGTTTTGGTCATAGAGGTCCAGATTTTGTATTGACTGCTATCATAATATCTACAGCAACACCGGCACCAGCAGCAGCCGTTGGTGGGGGAGGATGCCAAGGGAATGGCAGGCCTCAGGTAATGAACAAATGAAATTGGTCATTCTCATGAGGCCATCGTCTGAAGCCCAGCCCAGATCGCAGGCTAAATCGGACCGTGGCAGACCGCCGTGAGCTGAACTGCGAAATGGGGTGGGTGGGATTGTTATCGGGGTGGCAGGAAGAGGCCGGCCGTGAAACGAGGTAGTGGCAGCAGCGGGTGTAACCATTTTTCATTTTTAACCAGCGTTGGGACAATTTATTTGCATGACTTACTAATTGGTTTATGGGGTCACTGAGGGATTTGGGAAAGCCGTAGAAGGTGAGGTGAAGGTGGGACCACTGTCCGAATGGAAGTTGCTGCGTGTGTGGAGGGGGGGTGACGGGGAGGAAGCGTGAAAATAGATTAATCAGATTTGACAGTAGAAATAAGTAAATGTTGCGTTATCATTATAATGTTGCATACATTTAAATGTTGGAGACTGAGTAATAAGAAGTCCCTCCATATCCTCAGAACCTTCCTCAGTATGCAAATCATCAAATCTCGATTCCAGGGATTTAGGCAATTGCTTCGAGTGCACATGCTGAAATGGGCATTGTTCTAACCTTTCGTATTCCTTTCTTTCGCAGCTCCTGAGCAAGGTCCTGGTTTTTCTCTAATTTTTCGCTGTTCCTCACGTTCAATCTGTGGTCAGTCAGCATAGCTACTCCCACAGTCTGTCAGATTCTCTTATATTTATGTACAATTATGATCTTAACTGGATGATGTGGTCAGTGAGTATCGAATTGCCAAATATTTTCTATGTTTTATGTTCCATCAATTATTATTATTATTATTATTTTATTTCCTTTGGTTTTTGATGTATACTCATTTCTTTCCGGGTCCCAACCAGAGACCTAAGGTCAGAAATGGCATCATGACATTTTTCACCGGGCAGTTTTGAAAAAGAAATCGCACATATTTTATATAAATAAAAATCTTCGTGTGGGCTCTACTCATGAGAACAATTTTTTGTATTTCTTTAAGGCGTGGGCAACAAGGGATTCCTTTAATGTGTCTATTGGAATCTTTTCCAATCAATCCGAGGGCTTCAACTACGACTGGAATTGTTAATGACCTCATGCGCCACATTTTTGAGATTTCAATTTCAAGGTCCTTGTATTTTGATAGATTTTTTGAAGATCTTCAGAGATACATTGCAGCCTGCAGGGACTGCCATGTCAATAAGGAGGCACTTTTAGTCTCTGCAGTCTCTAATCACGATGTCAGGGGGATTAGCTTTGATTATCCTGTCTGTCTGTATTGTAAAGTCCCATAAAATTGTTACCGGCCCTATCTCCGTAATTGGGTATGGGTGGTGTTCATACCAATTTCTTGCATTTTCATTTCCGTAAGTGTTGCAGATTTTCCAGTGTAGATATTTAGCCACTCTGTCGTGCCGTGTTTTATATTCACTGGGTGACAAAACCCCGTAACCTGACACAAGATAGTCAATTGTTTCTGCATATTTATCATAGATTCTGCATTTTAGACAAATGCAATTTTTCAGTATGTGTGATTGGCAATTTCTAGTTAGGAAGCAAGAATAAAACCTTCAGTTTCAGCTTTTAACTATGCATTACGTAGCCACTGGTGAATACGTGGTTTGTCTATATCAGCTTGTTTGTTACGGGTAGAGTATTCACCGTGAAGCGGTTTATCGTGCCATTGTTTCTGTATCTGTTCGCTTGCATTTGCCTTTGCTTTCTTTTTTTTACGTATTTTGCAGCTTCAGTCGGTGTATTGTGCTTTACTTGTATTTATACAATCATTTGAAACTCCATTTTGAAATTGTTGGCTTCCTTTATTACTTAATAAAGTCGCTTACTACTTTCATATTCTTTGAATAGTAGTAAGCGACTTTATTATTATTATTATTATTCTTATTTTCTTTGATTTCTGGCGTTTACACATTTCTTTCCGGGTCCTGCCCAGGGACCTAAGGTTAGAAATGGCGTCATGATTTTTCCACTGAAAAAAAAAAAAAAAAAAAAAGATTACATAGATAAAGCCCTTCGTAAGGTGTGGGCTGGACTTGTCAGAACAATTTTCTGTATCTCCTTGAGGCATGGATTTCCAGGAATTATTATTATTATTATTATTATTATTATTTTTTCTTTTGATTTTTTTGTATACATACTTCTTTCCGGGTCCCAACCAGAAACCTAAGGTCAGAAATGGCTTCATGTCATTTTCAACTGATCATTTTTGTACCCCCTCCTAAGATCGCACTCATTTTACATAAAAAAAAAACTCTTTCTTTTTGTATTTCTTTAAGACATTGGATAACAGGGACCCCGTCAATAAGTCTATTTCAACCTTTTCCAGTCAATCCAAGGGCTCGAACTACATCTGGAATTATTGATGTCCTCATATGCCACATTTTTAAGATTTCCACTTCAAGATCCTTGTATTTTGACTGTTCTTTGAAAATCGTCAACGATAAATTACAATCTGCGCTGACTGTCATAAGCACATTCGATTCTTGTAGTCTTTGGTCACGACGTCTGGGTGATTAGCTTTGGTTGTTCTGTCTGTGTGTATTGTAGTCCTATAAAATTGTCACAGGTCACATCTCTGTAACCGGATCTGGGTGCTGTTCATACCAGTTTCATGCAGTTTTCTTTCCGTAAAAGTTGCAGATTTTCCAGTGACTCACTCTATCATTTCGAGATTTATATTCAGTTGCTGTTAACGCCATGCAACCTGATACAAGATCGTCAATTGTTTCTGGATATTTATCACATGATCTGTATTTTGGGCTAACAAATTTTCAATATATGTGTTTGGTAATTTCTACGTAGCAAGCATTGGTCCTGTGCAGCAAGAATGAAACTTTCGATCCCAGCTTTTAACCGATGGGTATGAGGTTTGTCTACTTGTTTGGTACAGGCAGAGTATTGACCCTGAAGCGGTTTATCTAGTCATTGTTTCTGTATCTGGTCTGTTGCATTTGCCATTGCTTTCTTTTTTTAAAGTATTTTACAGCTTCAGCCAATGTATACTTTTTTACTTGCATTTCTTCACCCCATTTTGAACTTGTTGGCTTAGTTTATTACTGAATAAAGTTTCTTACTTCTTCCATGTTCTTTAACACATATCATCATCCAGTCTTCTGTAGTTTCTAGGTATCTTTGAAGGTCAGTTTTTGTAGTTTTGTACGACAATTCTAGTTGAACTAAACCTCTGCCTCCTTCGGGCACATAAGGACGATCAACATCAGCCTTCGGATGATGCATGCGGTGGCAATTAAGAAGCTTTCTCGTTTTGGCATCCATTCGCTTAATGTCAGCTATGGTCCAATTAAGGATGCTGAAACTTGAAAGGTGTTTATGGCTGATATTCTGTTTTTTTGAATTCTTCTCAGTATTCAGTAGAAGACGCGCACACTTGTATTACTCTTTTCTTACCGTTTCCTTCATTTGGGTATGCTGTATTACATCTCCCTCGCTAATTCCTAGGTACCTATAGGCTTCTTCTTGTTCCCTAATCTTTGTGCCATAATCTAAATCTGTTGAGTGTGTTTCTGTAATTCTTCCTTTCTTGAATGTTACTTTTGCATATTTATCTAATCCGAAATCCATACTGATGTCATCACTGAAACATTTTACAGTATGGAGGAGACCCTTCAAATCATTGTCATCTTTGGCAGAGAGTTTTAGATCATCCAAGTAGAGTAGGTGATTGAACACTTTCTTGTTAATTTGTATCCATAGCTCTTGTTATTTAGTTCGTGCGTCTCCTTGAAAGATTCATCGTCAGATATTCAGGCGGTTGGGGGGGGGGGCGCAGTGCCTCTTGTGTGATTTAGCTTTAATATCGTTTTCCACATTTCCAAGCTGTGTTTAAGGAAATTTACTACCACGGAGGATACGTTGTACATTTTCAGGCATACTATCAAAGACTGTCAATGGAAATCTATCCATGTTGAGCTGAGATTTCTATATCTTTTCCTGTAATTTTCCAGTGTCATTTTTTCAGTATCATTTTGTTTATTAGTAGTTGATCTTTGAAACCATATGAATCTCTTCGTCATCCCTTCTGTTTCAGTGGAAGAATGTTGTTTACCTCGAGAAAAGCGTAGGTACTCTTCGTCAGGACAAACGTGTTATTGGCCTATAATTTTTCGAACGATCTTTTTCACTCGTTTTTGGCATTAAAAATGTAATACCGTCAGTTATCCATTCTGGGACTTCATTGGGATCATTAATAAGCATTGATAAAGTTTTTGCAAGGGTTTTATGGATTGATGACTGATGATAGAACCAGAAATTGGGCACCTTGTCATGTCCTGGGGATTTTCATTTTTGGGATTTCGTTCGAGCTAACCTAACATTATTCGTGGTTATATTTTCTCATTCTTGAGGAGGTTTATCCAACGTTCGTTCTTCTTCACGTTGGATCCATTCTGCATTTGGGTTATATTACTTTGGGCTGCTCCAAATATTCTTCCAAAATTTCTGCACATTGTCAATAGATGGTGGCTTTTTGACATGTATAACTGTCTTTCTAATTTCCCTGTAAAATTTCTTAAGGTCCGTTTGGAATACTTTATTTAGGCGATAGAATCTACAACGCATTATTATTATTATTAAAGTGCTCCGTTTGTTTAGCATTTCATAATAATAATAGTAATAATAATAATACTACTAATAAAGACAAATATTGTTAAAAATAACCTCTATGTATTTTTCCCGAACAAACAAGTGTTAAATTTATTATTATACATGTATTATTGAATAAAAGTGTACCCGTGGCGTAAAAAATGACAGCAATTGTTAGAAAGTTTTAATCATGAGATGCAAATGAAACAGACGTCTTGAAATATGGTATTGGCATTCAATAGAGATAAAGAATTCAAAACTAAATTAGAAGCTAAAAAGGCCGTTTAATTAATCCATTTCATTTAGACTTTTTAAGACATTCAACAGTATATATGATTCATCGATTACTCCTGGGATTATATAATTCACTTTTAGCTCAATATATTTTCATTTCAGAAAAGTTGTGTTTAATATAGCAATAAAATGGAAATATCTCTCTGAAGGAAAAGATTTGCAACAGAACGACAAAGACAGCGGTGACAAAGCCTGTTTCGAGACCACGTTGTATAAAGATGATCACTGAATAGACAAAAGTTTCTGAGTGCCTCACATGAAGGCCTTGAACAAATAAGATTGCAATCTAAGAAATGTAGGAGTAAACAAACTGATTAATTACACAGTTTATTTTTAATGAGGAACTATTTTTATATTGATAAATATTTTATTTGTATAGATTAACACGACTAAGGGAAGTAATTAGTGAAAAATTTACTAACTTGATTTATCTCCCTTCCCACGACAAATGGGACGGGAAATATATAAATAAATTCAGACTGGTAATTATTATATGATTTGATTTCATGCATTTGAATGTTTATCTCTGATGTCACACAGTTATCGAAATATCGTTGAGTGAGAGCAAGTCTTTACAGATCAACAGCACTTTCTCACTATCTAGAAAATCCTATCATCACCGCAGTAAGAAAAATCTCAATTCTATTATTATTTAATGATTAAACCCTTAATGGCTTATTGCAAATATTGGAACTTTTTTTCTTAATATTTTATTCTTTTCAGGACAGCACATCAGGACATCAACCGAAAAATATTGAGGTATTCTGTTTCATTTTAGAGAAAGATCGAGTCTTTCCTGAAATTCTTAGCCGTAACAGCACTAATGTTGCGGACTTAATTCAAAATTCTAAGGAAATGAAGACAATAAAAAGAACATTTTTACATTTAGTGAATTCACCTCCACCTGTACATAGGTTTTTAAGACAATACCTTATCTCTTTCCCCCTGTTCACAATTCGTCAATTCAATAACGTTTCTTATCCGTTCTCCCGTCTAAAAAAGGATAGTAGACAAAAGGTATGTAATTCCACATTGTCTGTATTTAACTAAGATTTCAAAACATGGGCATACATCGAACGAACTACCAGATTTATACAGATTATGCTGAGTAGATTGAGAAATCTGTTATATATATATATAAGCCTTGTAAGTGAAATTGAGTAGACGGAACCCTTAGGGGCCGTCAGTAGCTGTGCTAGCACGAAGTCACAAGTCATCGTGACCGAGAATTTGAGTGTGCTCGCTTTGTTCAGATTATTGATCACGCTAGATATAACACTTTCTCCCAGAAATTGTAACTAAGGTCTGATCAGCATAGTTGCAGTATAAACCACAGGTTGGCTCTGTAGGTGTTGAATAAACACAAATATGCCTGAGCGAGCGTCTGCAATAGGGATTGGCTAGCCGCCTTAATAGACGGATATCGTCGAATACACGCGGCCAGCTATTATATCTATCTACCTATCTATCTATCTATCTATCTATCTATCTATCTATCTATCGTATATTTTTGATGGGTGGACAAAACATTAAAAATAGACATATTTGTAAAGTCACTTAAGTTTGCATATGCTGGCGATGATGACGGTTCTTTAATTTGTGGTTAGAGTTTAAGTACAAAGTTATGTTCCGAAGGCCAACAGCCATTTTTAATATCTCGAGAACCGGTTGCGTGGCTTTGATTAAAAAATGGCAGCCAAGTAAAGGGAAGTTACTGCGCATGCATGAACAAACACTTTTTTGTGAGATTACTCAAATGACATTCATTTGTTTTGTATTGTATTGTAGAACCACATTTCTGTTGCCTGAAGACTCTTTTTCGTCTGTAATAAGATTGTTCAACATTTTCTATAGGAGGACCAATGTTACATAACAGCGAGGTAGTCAAGAAATCTTCCTGTTTCATAATACTTTGCTTAGCTTTTAGAATGCTTCTCTCATTATTTCAATGCAACTTCACATTTCGGCGTAACCTTCTCCGTCCTCTAGTAAAGCACTCCCCAGTTATTTACCTTTTCGTAATTGCTTGAGTTTCGCTTCTCAAATTCCTGCTGGTTCGCATCTAGGATCGACGTTCTGTCTTCTTACAATCGATGGTTAAACCGTTTTTTTCAATTTCTTTTTACTAACTTCTTTAGATGCTCTTACAGTTTTCCTTCTGTGTCATATATATATATATATATATATATATATATATATATATATATATATATATATATATATATAAATTAAAATAATACGAAAGAACAATGAGATTTATAATTCAGATTTCTTAGCATTTATTTTTATTGAAAAACAGTGCTCGATGCAACAGTAGAGCATATATATAATATATATATTATATATATGTATTATAATATATATTATAATATATATTTTATATACATTATATATATATTATAATATATATATTATAAAATATATATATATATATTATTATATATATATATATATATATATATATATATATATATATATATATATGTGTGTATGTATGTATACTAGCGATCAAATGTTTGTGACCAGCTTGAATTGTTCATAAAAAAGCTAATTTTGCATATTTAGGTAAATAGATTAACCTATTGAGTATATATGCAAACTGTTATATAAAATTCAAACAAATTTTTCTACAAGCATTATAAATTTATTTGTATAAACTTTGGAATATTTGTTACAATCTGATACCTTTTCTGAACTTCAGAGCAGAGATTTACAAATATTTTTAACTCCAATGCTTGGTAGAGGCTCAATTCTATCTAGATTAATGTGTGATTGAAATTAATTCCCAGAATCCGTTAAAATGCCAAGAACTAAACAGATTAATATTGAAAAAAGAGCTAGGAGTAAAAATTCTTTCGATAGAAAGGTATTCTGAAAATCAGATTGCTAGAAAATTACAGATACTTTGATGAAAATAAAATATAAATTTACTTTAATTGAAATTATAATTATTATATATTTTGTTTGATTTAAATTACTGCATATTTGCATGCAAGCATAGAAAAAATTAATTTATTTCCCCACCCCCAAAAAAAAAAAACACAAAAAACTTTTATTTTTTAATTTTAAACGAAAACAATCAATGTGATCCCAAACTTTTTGGTCGGTATATATATATATATATATATATATATATATATATATATATATATATATATATATATATATATACACACACCAGGGTAAGTCTAAAATTATTCACACTTTCGCTATAACATATATTTAGGTTTGTGACACTGACTTCTGCTCATACATGCTTATAGTTGATACGATTGTGGTCCCGTGATCGAAGTTTGAGCCTGATTGTACCAGTTTTCTTGTTGCTTTTACAGTGTAAACATGGCCGCTTCGCTAGTAGTGAATCGGAATCTGCAGAGAACATATTACCTGATCGATAACTTGCCGGTTCGCCATTACTGTCTCCCAAGCTTGCTGAATCTTCTCTTCAGTGGTGGAGATTAGAGGGAGTTTTGCGTCACGCTTGTTCAGCAATTTTTACTCTTCTCAGTCCACTCATACACATTTCTACGCGGTAATGCAATGTCGCCTTACTGTGTTAAAAGCCTTCGATGAGTCGCTTTTCGACCAGTGAAATCGGGTCACTGCTCATTGTTCTTCCTTGGCGCAAACTGCTAGTGACGTGGGCATGTTTACATTGTAACAGCAGCATGAAAATTGGCGCGATCACCCTCAAACTTCGATCACGTGACATCAACAGCACCAACTATAAGCACGCATGAGCAGAAGGCAGTGAAATAAACCTAAAAATATGTAAAGATCAAATGCAGATCATATATGGCTCGGAATCTGACATGATGATAAAATAAAAGAACAAATACGAAACTTATATCAATCTAACATGTTTCATTTTTATTAAAGCTTCTTCAGACATTGAGAGAAAACAGACAAAAAGACAGGAAACATTAATATTTTCAATTCTGTTTGTGTCATTTCTCAGTAGTCAGACACAATGTCACATGTATTAAAACCGTAGATAATACAATGTGTATGTAGGTTTGTGAAGATTCTTGTATGTCTAAGTGGTCATCAGATGATAATGTGTATTTGTAATTGTGTGCGTATATCTGTCTGGTTGGAGTTTTATCTTCACCTTTGTGCGGTCAACCCATGCAAAAGGTTTCAATTTATGTCTCGCCTCTTTAAGAATGTATTCTTTGTATTTGATAGATACAAGTTAGATTCTTTAAGAATGGATTCAAAGAAATATATATTATATGATATAATGTAATGTTTTAGACGTATGTTTATAGTTGGTAATGATATTATTAAGTTTTCAATGTATTTTCTCCTCAAAGAATTATGTTCTTTTTTTAAAAATTAGGGTGGCATTAGGGAAATCAAAGTTATGTCCAGCATAGTTCCTATGCAAAACGAGCGAGTTAGATCGATTGTCCAAACGCACGTCTCTCTTGTGTTCGTACATGCGGACATTTAGATCACGTGATGCCTAACCGCCATAAACATTTTTGCATTATAAACAATTTATTTGTTAAATCCTGGCATTTGAATCGGTGTTCGGTTTATTTTTCTTCCTAATTATATCCCTGATTTTCTTGATTTAGTAGAGTGTAATTTGTGTAATTTTTGTTTAGCCTTGTGGATTTTGTAAGTTCTTTTTTTGCGTTGAGGTTAAATGATGTGGGTAGTGAAAGTTTTCTCAATATATCTATCTTCTTTATTTAGGTATTCTGGGATACCTATCTTAAAGGCTCTGAGTTAGAATCCTGTGACTAGTTCAGATTTTATTTTTTGGTTGTGGTTGAAATACAAGTTGATTAGATCGTTTTTGTTTGTGGGTTTACAATATAATTTAAAATCTAATTTCTTATTGTTGCGTATTAATAACATGTTATTAATATAACAATGAGAAATTAAATAAATTAATACATTCTTAAAGAAACGATTCATAAATTAGAATCTTGTAACTCCCCTCTGCACGGGTTGACCGCACAAAGGTGAAGATAAAACTCCCACTACATATTCTAAATTTATGACATCATTATCAACAAAGAAAGGAAATAATTGTGTGCGTGAAAAAAAGACGTTATAAAAAAGTGTGGAATTGAGAGGAAGAAATAAAAACGATATCAAGAAAGAAAGAAAGAATGAAAGAAAAAGAATAAAAGAACAAATTAAGAGTGACAGAAAGAAATGATATTGTCAATGTAGAAAGAAAGAAATAACGAAAGAAGGAAATAAAGAAAGAAAGGAAGACAATTACAAATACACATTACCATCCGATGCTCTCTTAAACATACAATAATTTTCACAAATCTACATACACAGTTTTAATACACGTAACACGTGTTTGACCAATGAGAACTGACCCAAACATAATTGAAAATATCAATTTTTATCTGTCTTTTTGTCTGTTTTCTCTCAATCTTGGATGAAGCTTTAATAAAAGTGTTAGATTGATATACGTTTCCTTTTTTTGTTTTTTTTTATATATATATATATATATATATATATATATATATATATATATATATATGTATGTATAGTTAAGTTACGAAAAACTTGGTAATCCGTATGGGTAGTTCAAGGAGGATGAAATCCTGAGAGCTCAATGTAAATTCAGAGCTAATAATTTAAAGAAAAACACACCACTTTAAGGCTCCATTGTAATAATTTATTTCACCAGAGACCTTTTTAAAGACGCTGGATCATCAGACATTTTCATTTCATTTTTTGTTTCACCTTTTGGAAGTGATGTCTGATGATCCAGCGTCTTTAAAAAGGTCTCTGGTGAAATAAACTACTACAATGGAGCCTTTAAAGTGGTCTGTTTTTTTTAAATTATATATATATATATATATATATATATATATATATATATATATATACACAAATTTCAAAATAAATATATTGGATTGTGTTGGAAAGAAAATTTAAAAATTTAAATCTTTGAGGAAGTAGGGGTCCAAAATTTCCTGCTTCTAAGCTATCTTCAATTAAGAGGACCACATGAGAGATAAGAATTGTGATCGACATCTGGATAAAAATCTGGATTTTTGAAGTAATTTGTCGACTATTTGACACGTATTTAAATTTCTCTTTAAGAGGTAAGTTAGTATTAGAACGTGCATGATCCTACAAAAACTCGCTTTGTTAAATTTCGCCTAAGATTTTACAAGCTTTTCAGCATCATTCTGATGCCTGATTTTCTACCTAACGGTTCCGTTTACCAAATTACACTCACAAGTTTTGGGTCAACCCGTGGTTTTCAAGCACTTTCAAAAGCTGCCGTACGCTAGGATCGCCTCTCTAGGCCGATAACATCAGCTTCCTTACAAAAAAGACCCTGGTGAGATCCGAACCTGGATTCTCATGACCAGAAAGCCGATGTTTTAACCGTTCGGCCAACCAATTCTTTCCTCGATTAAGTGAATCCCGTTAGAGGTAATATGTGATAGACAGCGTCCTATGTAAGCCGTCAATATTGAATTTTAGTCAGCATTTTACAAGCTTTAAAACATTTCTCACATCAAATTCTTTGTAAGCTTTTAACGTTTGTCCTCATGACCAAAT